ACTGCTGTATAACCAGAGCAGAATCTCTGTCGTGACAGAAAATGAGGGAAGAACTCATTTATGAGAAGTGTTGTCTGTAGGACACACCCAAACCACCCCAAAACAAATAATAAAAGACAAAAGCCAAACCTAGCTATGAAAAACCTACTTGTTCCACAGCCTGGCACAAGGGGAAGCCAAATCACCTGGTTGACAGCCACGCGACTTAGCAGAAGCTACATTCTGTTCTGTAACACAGTGCAGAAACCCAAGTTCAGGTGCCAGCAGCTACCAAGCAGCAGAGGATTTTGAGCAGTGGGTGAGTCTAGAAGTGACTGTCTGTTGTGACGCCCGTTTCTCCCAAAAACGGGATCCCTTGCAAGCAGAAATGCAAAAATAAGGTTGAGGAACAAACAGCACCCGAAAAACCAAAAACACCGAGGAATTCTCAAAAAAAGCTGTAAATCTCCCAGGTGCTTTTAGGCTGCGTGTTCTCATTGCTTAAGGAATGCCAGATTCAGAGGCAGGGAGCAGTGCTGACGCTGTCAGTCTCCATTTCTCATCACCCAAAGGCCAGTCCATTAACACACTGTCCTGCAGTTATTAGTACAGTAGGTGCCTGCAAGCAGCAACCCGGTGCAACTACAAACAGTTTTGGGGTCTGTAAGGGAAAGACGGGAGCTACAGCCTTGTACCTGCTAGGAAAAGGGTGCCTCGGAAAGCTTTTCCCATTAATATAGTATCAATGTCACATACATCTCTAAGCAGCCCTCGGGTTTACGCATATTTTTGCTCTCTTCCAGTTTTATGAGGGTTTTCATTGATTTCTGAGCTTCTGGAAATTAAAAGTAATAAAAAGCCTGACGTGACAGACCAGTAATATTAAGACTGTGATTTTCCATATCCAAAAGGAAAGCATAAGGTTCTCGGATACAGATGGTACTTCGCTCTTCACAGCGAGCTCAGGCTCTCTCTGCCTCTGTTGGTACTTTCAGCAGTGGAAAAAAACAGGGGACTATTTTAAGCGTGGTACTCATAAAAGTCAGCATCTTATTACTGCATCTGGCAGAAAGAGGGGCAGCAAACCCAGTATTTTCCATCTGCTTTAAAAAACGAGAAATCATTAATAATTTCCAATTTGATTGGAAAGCTGCAACTCACCGTTCACACAGATTGACATAACCTACAGGCAAAATTACTTGCAGGATGAAGCTGAAGAACCAGACTGTGAATTCCTGCCTCCCTCCTCCTGCGGTCTGCATTCCCGTGGCAGCTGCCAAGACTCAGCTGGTGCACGGCTTATCTGTTTCCTTCTCTGTAAAAAAAATCAACAACTATTTACATACCATGGCTGTGTCTCAGGGGAAACCTGCTTCAGAAGTACAAACCTTGCTATTTTGATGAACTCCGTGTAATTAAGGAAATAGCTCATCAGAAAGTTCAACTTGGTTTTAGTGGGCTTTGGAAATGATTTAGTGCCCTCATTTAAAATGGGATGAATGTAAGTCTTGTTAGGGGACTATTCTTGCACTAACTGCTGCAAGGAGTGAAAATTCTCCCTCATTAGACTCCTGCTTGGAGAGAAAAAAGCACCTTTAAGAATGCTGCAGAAGTCTCCCATATTTTCATCTGCCTTCATGGAGATTTTGTTTACATGGTGTATTTCCTTCTGCACAGAGGGGTAACATAACACAGAAACACTTGCACAGACGTACAGCGAGCTTGAATTTCAGATACACAACTCAGAAGGCAAACACTTGCCGAGGCTGCAGCTCGCCAATGACGTCTCCTCTTTCTTGGCTGAATTCAGGTTAAAGTTCAGGCCTGAGAGTGCTCATCATTTGTCATTACAATAAAAAACAGCTCCTCCAGAAGGAATTTAGCTTTTTGTTGCGTAGTTGCAAGCAAGGGACAACAGGGTATGACCCCAACCTTGCCACCAATCTTCTGCATGAGTTTGGGCAAGTCACTTCTTGTACCCGTCTCCCTTTTTAGACAGGAAGGTTTTTGAGGCAACAAGTCTCATCTTTCATACATGAGCACAGCAAGCTTAGATTTTGACAATAATAATGCTAAAAATACTGCCTGTTTCCCGTGAACTCTGGCTCATCAGATTTCTCGAGTCCAGCAGCAAGTGGGTAAGCGATAAAAGTGGCAGCTGAAATTCAATATGGGGAAGTGCGAAACAGCACACGAAAGGGAAAAATAAAGACATCATGATCTGGGTACCTAAAATTCTGAAATAGCTGCGGCCACTCAGGAATGAGACCTTGGGTTATAAGAGCCATGAAAGCGTCAAGTCCATAGTTCCCTGCTTATAAAGAAAAGCAACCAGAGTGTTATCAATCAGGAAATGGACACATCCGTGCTCTTCCAAACTTCAGGGTTGCTGATGCATCGAGGACACCCCTTCCAGCTCCAGCTGACATGTCCTACACGTCCCTCTCGGTTCACTGTCAGCTTCAGGGCACCGCCAAATCCCCCTTAAGCAGACATCTAATCTAGATTCCTGGCAGCAATAAACAGCTCATATTTAGCCTAAGAGGAGAGTCACCTATTCAGCATGCCGGAGCATCAGCATTATTTACAAGGGTGTTTAAAAACATGGAATTAAAGTTTAGCATCAGAAAATCCTGCCTGAGAAATATCGAACACTTCAGATGAAGTGGTATAACCAATACTGAAGATACGTAAAGCAAATACATCCACTTTGAGAGGTCACCATCCCCTTCATTTTCTGCAATCATGAGCTTTTTAGGCATTGCCCAAAAGGAGAAACAAAACAATACTGCTTCAGACCACTGTTTTGGAGTTGTCTGTTTACAACATACCTTATGGAGAACTGTGTGTGTAACTGCAGCCGTGCAAAAACACAAGCATAAATGAACTTGGTAGCTATAAATAAGGGTGTTGGTGCCCTCCAAGAGGCTGCTGAACCAGGCAAGGAAATAAAGCACGTTTAAATATAAGTGCTGGAGGTGTTAAGTTACAAGAAATAGGAAAAAAAGGTCTGTAATAAGTTTCCAGTGAAAGTCAGGAATCTAGTAGTGTATTTGGAGTCAATTTTTTAAAAGTTTGACATGCATGCAGGAAACAACCTTACCTGGGAAAGTCCCTGCCTAAATGTACAAACAGGTAAATGGAAGAATGGGCATTTGCAAAAATAACCAACCAACAAAAACCACACACGTTTGATATGACGTTATTTGTTAAAGATAAGTCCTGGCTAAAGACCTTACACCAGTATCTCTGATCCTTCTCCAGGTTTCTTCACCTGTTTTAATGCTGACTGTGGCAGCACCTAGAGGGCAACTGCCTATAAACTAGGCCCCAGCATAGTGGGCAACCACCATCTGCTTTTAGGAGGGGAAGCTAAGGCAGTTTATGCCTGCTAAGACTTTAGGAGGAGATAAACCATTTATTAACTGCATGGTACAAACAAACAAACAAACGTTTTGGTTGTAGAATCAGTCCTTCTGCACAAAATACTAAATCACCGTGTCATCTCCCTGACGTTTCCAGGGGAATTTTGCCCACAAATAGTCAACCACAATGAGGATTTTTAGAACCAAATGGAAAAAAAGTTGCCAAGAAAACAGTTTTCAGCAAGTGGAAACCTCCTGGATAAAGTAATATATCAAGAGAAATTTAAATGGAATGGACATAGGCAAAAGCCTGAAGGAAGTAGAAAGGCAAGAACATGGAAGAAAACAGAACAGAGCAGGTTATTCCTATGTCAGTGGGGCAAGATAAGCGTTTTGCTTTGTAAACACACAGGCCTAAGCTGACCCAATTCCTGCAGTGAACAAATGACAAACTCAAGCCTCTGATTCATCAAATTGGAAGCTCAAGGCTGCTATTACAGGGAGAAAAGGCAGAAGAGATAGTTAGAAGATACAAAAAACAGTCCACATCCCTCAGGAAAAGCTTACAGCTGCTAACAGCTAATAGTGCAGAACAGTAGTATTTGTTGAAACAAAAGTCATAAACAAATCATCTTGCCTAAAGCCAAGTCATACTTTTCAGGGCATTTTAGGGCAGGTCTTGTACAACAGAAGAGCAGACACACAACAGGTAAAATACAACTTTTTTAAAAAACGGTTTTCTGTTTTACAAGCAAATGTTTGTACAGAGGTTGTTGGAACACAAGTGGAAAAAAGAAGCAAAAAAACAAGAGCAAGAATTTGTCATAGAGATCTGCAGCCAAAACTTAAAAAAAAGAGGGCAATAACTGGAGATACTTCACAGCATTGATCAACTACAGGTCTATATCCCCTACCCCCCCCAGATAAATGTGTAAAACAGGAAAAAGGCATCCAGCATCAACTTCCAACCAGCTAAAAGGCCCTCAAAGCTCTCTTCCCTTTTAATATTTGTACAATTTCAGTGGCAATTGTGGGTATAATGGAGCACAGACAAGTGTCACCATTGACACCTGTTGCCAACCCTTTGTCACATACTCTTTCCAAACAAAAAGCAAACATAAAACCAGGAACACTACTATTTCTTATTTTACATAGGAGAGGAAAAAAAAAAGTTGTAGCATTTAGCAATTTTGTCAGCTCTTCAGTTTTTTTATGAGAGTTTTCTTTCATTGGCCCTTTTGAAAACTTCATCCAGCCTTTCTTAAATATCCCCCTCAGTGTTATTTGACTGCAAATATAGAGAGAGCACATGCCAGGTTTGAATCAATTTTAAGAGTTATTACCTAAGTGCGATGTTAGAGAAAGTGAGAACCGTGCAGTTGGCCAGATACAAGAATGAGTTTCCGTCGGTTCCTACAGTACTTCCATACTGACCTGTATTCAGTTAATCCTCAGTATTTCTAGCAAAGACCCTAGCGAGATGGCCAGCAGAAAGCTTCCACTGACAGCCCACTCATTTGGATTTAAATGGCTAGGTGTTTTAAATTGCCTCCCTCCATTTCCCTGGGTTAAAGTTGTGTAAGGTTAGACATTTTCTTTGGATTTGGGAAGAAATACAAATGCATTCCTTGTTACTTTCCGCTCCGTTCCGGTATGGAAAGTATTGTCCTGGAGTCAAACTGGAGAACAAATTAGCTGCCAATCATCCAACGACCCCAGATCACGCTGGAGTTCGGAGACTGAGGACTTACGAGCAAGGCTGGAATTCTGGGAGACACCACGAGGAAAGAAGCACGATAGCACACTGTCCTTTTCCAAAGCTTCCCACTTATTGTGGATGCAGCACAGCGGACTCCATGATGAAGCACCAGAACAAGGAAAGCAGGAATACAGACAAAGCATCTCCTCAGCAGTGGGGTTCAAAACAACAAAGTCCTTTGAAAGCTCAAAACAAAAAATTCCCAGAGCAATAAGCAGAATTGTGCAATTCAAAACCACACAGACGTGAATTTTACTTTCAAAGGGCTTTATATTACAAAAAATGTAAGTCACAACGAATGCGAAAAATCCATTCAATGAGGCCTGTTTCCAGTTTGCTAGGAAAGCTCCTTTTCTCTTCCTTATTCCCAGCCTACTGCTGAAAACATGATTGCCAGAACAGTGACACCTCGAGCTAGATTTTTAAAATCAAACTTGCTCTGCCAGATCCAGTACTCTGAACTTGTCCAGGTTGTAGAAACAAGCCTTCACCACTCGGCCACCGAAGTACCTTCCATTTAGATCCACCACAGCTGGAATTAAAGCGAAAAAGGAGTCAGCAAGCGACGATTCAGTAAAATAAGAAATTCTTTAGCTAACAGTCTAAAGAGTGAGGCTGTTAAATGTCTAAACAATTTAATTTTGACATTAACATTAAACAATGTAGCATCCTACCTTTGATTGCAGATTCAACCCGCTCAAACTCTAAAAATATCCTTACAGCTTCGTCATCAGGTGCACCAGGAATCTGAAGAAAACCATATTAGAGCATTACCAAGATACTGCTTTAAACTGTTGTTCTTCACAGTAGTGAACACAAAAGAAAAATTAGGCACAGTTGTCCAGTTGCTAAAAGGAGATTTAAATTGCCAAAATGGGTCCTGTTTCTCTAAGGGAACCTTTCAAGTAAGTCAGTGACAAGCTTCTACAGGCCAACTCCACAAACAATTCTCTGTAAAAGACTAACTCAAGCAGGAGGAACTGAAGAAGGCTCCAAGAGCACAATACCCACAGATTTTGCCCAGTTTCTGACTTCAGGAGTTTGTACTGTTACGAGATATGGAAAATACAGAATCACAAGACTGCAAGAGACTCTGAGAAATCTTCTTAATCTACACCCCTTCTATAAAGGGGTAAGAAGTCAGTCCTGAGAGACAGATGCCCCATTTGCTTTGAGAGCAGTCACCATGAGTCAGATTATTTCTTACCTCGAAGATGACACATTTCCCAACCTTGCCATATTTTTCGCATTCTTCCTTAGTTTCAACTTCTAGATCTTCATCTACCTCCCCAGCACCTACCATATTCTGAAAGTTAAGAGAAGAAAACCAGCTCGCTGCATGTGGGCCAAGTAGATGATTGTGCACACAAATCAGGAATGCATGCAATTGTGACTGAATATTTTAACTTTTGTGTCCAATTCTGGGCTCCTCAGTACATGAGAGACGTGGAACTCTGGAGAGAGTGAAGTGTGGGGCTATGAAGATGATTAAGGGACTGAAGCATCTCCCCTACAAGGAAAGGCTGAGAGTTGGACCTGTTTAGCCTAGAGAAAATTGAGAGGGGATCTTATCAGTGTGCTCAAATAGCTTCAGGGAGGGTGCCAAGAGGATGGGGCCAGACTGTTCTCAGTGGTGTCCAGTGACAGGACAAAAGAAACAAGCGCAAGCTGAAAGACAGGAGGTTCTGCCTGAATCTGAGGAAAAATTCACTAAATTCACTGACTGTGAGGGAGACAGAGCACTGCAACAGGTTGCCCAGAGAGGTTGTGGAGTCTCCTTCTCTGGAGATTTTCAACACCTGCCTGGACCATCCTGTGCAACGTGCTCTAGGTGACCCTGCTTGAGCAGGGGGACTGGACTAGATCTCCTGAGGTCCCTTTCAACCTCAACCCTTCTGTGATTCTGTTTAAAACAAAAGCCATTTAATCAAACATCACAGTGCTAGACAATTCCTCAGAACTTGAACGCTGTGACACAGTCACTGTATCCTTTAAATCAGTACAGCTCTACAGTTATAACTTAACTCTTCTCCTATTGCCTATTTTTCTCCACAACATATAAAGCACGGTGCTTCTCAGGCATTTTGAAAAGAGACAGACATGATATAAGGTTTAGGCCAGAACTCTGCATATAGAGGCACTGTAATAGGCTTAAGCATTTCAAGCAGACATGCATGCTGAAAGTACCAAGATGTGTCCCTTTCAACTTACCCTTAAGAGGACCACTTTAGTAGGGCATTTCAGTATCTCAGTTAACGGGTTAGAATCCGTTTTCTTGGTTGCATCTGCTATAAACAGGCATAGTGAGTATGGAAAAATTTAACATCAAAGCTCATTTAAAGTTTATGGTGGGGGCCTTTTTGAGAATCTTATTATTTGCATTCAGTGAAATAAAAGCCACTAATTGTAGTTTCACAACGATAAGGAATAGCCTTTCAGAACTGCTAGCTACCTTGAACAACAATAACCACACAAACCACTGCTATGGCACATAAATTAAGCCAAAACATAGGTGACTGACTATTTCCTGGAGGGAAATCAACTTTAAAATGTTACGAGATCCACCTAAACCAAAAATTGGATCTTCTTACTCCTAACAGGTGTGCTCAGGCAGAGGTGCAGTTCTAGTAAGCCAAGATGTTGTCTCTAGGCCAGGCAACCTCCTGGGCAATCAGTATCTAACACACATGCCAAGGAGAAAGCCACAGGAGTTGTGCACCTTGTATTACACCTTGAAGAAAAGGTAGAGATAGGACACTAAAGGAAGACAACCTAAAGGGTAAGAGGATGAACTAATAATTAAGAGAACATAATTAAGAATAATTAAGAGAACATGCCATTTTTCTAACTCTTACTTACATTCTGTGCAAGGACAGAGGCTGCCTCCCCTCCCTGCCCCAAATCCAGAAGCTCCCACTGACATATATTTCTCCCAACCATTTTCCACAGAAGCTTCCCTTTTCCCTGGCGAAGGGCACATTACCTTTTTCTGTGACCTCCCCAATAATGATCTTGCCACCTCTCTTGCTTGTTTTCTCTACCGACAGTGCTGTGCTCAGCCCCTGTTCGTGCTTCCCCAGCCCCTGGCCCTCTCTGAAACCATACTTCTGCATGATTTTATGAGCTACCGTGCCTCTGCAAAGAGAAAAAGGATCAGTTAGGAAAAGTTTCTTACAAGAACATTATTAAAATATTATTAAAACATTGATTTTCCTGACTTATCAGATATTCATATATTCTACCTCCTAAAAAATCTCATTACACAGTGAAAACATAAGAGCTTCTACATGAGTTTATAGCCTAACAATTTCACAGAACCTTGAGAAGATGGAAAATATTATCCCTGAATTACATATGGAAAACTTGACAGAAAATTTGACTAACTCAATAAAATTGTTCACACCTTGCCAAATACCAGCTGACTCCCATTAGCAGTGCAAGTCAGTATCAGACATTCTGCACAAAGTTGCAGAACAGATTAGACCAAGGTTTAACTAGTCCAGTTTATCAGTAGCTGATATCAAAAAGTATCAAAAAGCTTGAGAGAAAAATATAAGAATATCAAAACAGGTAGGTATATTTTTGTTTCCCTTATTAGACCACATTCCGCCATCTACTATTTCAACATTGGCTTAAGCTCCAGAATACAAAGCTTTGCTGCCCCTTCCTGTAACAAATGTGGATATTCTTAATATCCATTTAAATGTTTTATCTCTCCGAATTTTCAAGAACTTTGAGGCAGAAAAATCCCCATCTATTTACAGAGCAAATGCCAAAAGGAACCCCACTAGCTGATCTCGAAATGCCCACTGAAAGAATTCCTAGAATGTACCTACATGTACTGACTGACATTTCTTTGGATACCATGGCTTGATGGCAAAGGCACAAAAATACACTATGGTACAGTAGCAATTTACACCACAACCAATGTTCTCTACTCAGTCACCTCTGTTTCACTAACAGGCATTACACAGAAAATATCGGATCAGTGACTACATGACTATGTTTCCAGGTACACAACAGAAAACATATAAACACACATTAAAAACGGCCCAAAGTTCCAGCTACATCATGCTCAAAGGTTAAGACACTAACTCACACAATAAACAACTGCCAATGTGTGCTGAAAATAAAGCAGGTTAGGTAGTATTTTTAGCACTTTTTTCAATGAAATAGAGGTCCTAGGGTATTGTTAACTTGAGGTGGTAACAACACAAACTCATTTAACAGTTCTCATGTTGGTTGCCCTTTTTTTGGACTATGGTAAAAAATGTGTTTATATCAAACATGCACAAAAGCAAGAATGAAAAATGCATTGTAATAACATCTTAAGCTATACCTCTTTGGCCTTGTTCCTTTTAGATATAGTTTTGATTACACTGAGTTTGCACTTAAGACTTTAGTCACATCAAGCACTGTGGAAGATGGTCAGAGATAAACGCTGCACCTTTCAGAGGCATCTCTGAAAGCTGTTAGTAATTATAAATTCAACTTCACTTTGTCACCACAGCAGTTAGCAAGCTTTTTCACAGTGCTAATCCAAGGCAGAAATGTAAACTGAAAGATTTGCAGCCACAGCTGCTGCCACCTTCAAATATGCCATGCGTTTTTGAGGAAACAAACAAAACCAGGGCTGGAATGATTTGCCCACTGGTACACAGCAAATTTTGGGTGAAGCTGGAAAGGAAATCTGCAGACACTAACACGCCATCTGTGTTTTCCTGTAGATTACGTTAGCTTGGCTTGCACAAGTCACAAACACTTTCTACTTCGATGAAGCTTCAGAACTTGCTTAAAGGCACAGCCCTAAATGCAGCCACTTCGGATGCTTTTTTCTCATTCAAAGAAATCCTGTTTTGGCATCCTCTCAGTTAGGACCACATCCACTTATTTCTCATAGACAAAGTATTTTAAGTGCTGGCTTCCACCATCTTCTAATACTTAAAAAAACAAAACAAAACAAAAAGCAACGAAATGTTAGTATGTCAAATATATTTACCCCATGTTAGCAAGGAAGGAGTTACTGGGTCCTGTGGGTGAACGAGGTCTTTCTGGCTCATCATACACCGGGGGAGGAATAGCTGCTTTGGAAGAAGGAGCCCGAGGCCTTGACTCTTCTTCATACGGAAAATTTGCCACAGCTGGAAGAGAAGGGAGACATTTACTTTTTCACTAAAATATTTTGCATGAATTACCCATTTGTCATGAACACAAAAGTACTGCGACTTCAATCTCATTCATTTACAGAAAGATCTTCTTCTGCAGGCTGTCTCTTCTCCTCCTTCAATACTCACATATTAAGAAAAACAATGCCAAGTTAGAACTGCTTTCTGCCTAGCTGATTTCCTCTTCTCCACAGAAGTCTTTGGCAAAGACTTCTCTAAGCAAAACATTTATACAATTTGAAGATATATTGTTCACTGTTTCTAAACCAAGCCCTTTCCTGAGAGAAATGAATATCACACTGAATAGATAATTACACCATTTCCACTGACATGTAGAACTGCAAAATTTATTTATTTGAAAAGCAACAAAATACACTAGAGAAATTCTATAAGGAAATAAAGAACATCCTCTTTAATGTATTTATATGCCTTTAGATGGAATTTAGTTTATTTTCTCATCTTAACTAGCACTTATATCTTACCAAATAAAGCAGCGAACACGAACTTTGGGGAAACAGTATGAGAAAAAAAATTCTATTTAGGCAGCAGCAGAACTGAATTATGGAACTTTGCTACAGTAATAGTATTTTCTGAGGTTTGTCCAGCCTAGCTTTGAGTGTCAAGTAACGAGACATACAAAGATTCCCTTGTGAGATCATCTCATATTTCAGAAGCTCTCCCAACTCAGGATACTTCTACCATTTCCAGCCTGTATTTACTTTTCTTTGACACTGCTCAATTGCTCTTAATTATTTACACAAAATATTTCATTTCTGTTTTTAGTGTTTAAACACTTCAAATACTTCCACTATTATGTCATTCATTTACTCCACCAAACTACATTTTGATTGGCATCTACTCTTAAATTAAATCAGGACTTCCAAAGGAAATTGTTATGTGCAAAATATTCAAATTCTTTTATTTATAATGGCATACACAGTACACTGCTAATTATTTTAATTGAAAAATTAAGACAATCAGACATGCCACAAACCTGAACACTTCTGTTCCTACAGCAAGATTATGCCATCTAGTGGACAACTGCAACCTTCTTCTCAAAATACTCTTGAAAGAGGAAAGGAAACCCTGTCTTGTGAGCTGAGCACCTTTTAGCTTGTACCTTGTCACTCAAAAAATTACAAAATCCTGTATTTAATACATAAGCCTGGCAGAAATTCCTAATGCAAAAAGGTAGAGAAAAAAATCCCTCTATGCTGTGAAGATAAGTTCTAGTCCACCTAGAAAAAAACCCACATTTTTGGAACATTTCTTCTTTCAGATCACAAGTGAGGAACCAGACCTATCATGGACCAGACTGCTAACCCGTATCTTTAGCAATACAGAAGCCACTCATTTAGAATAGAAATGTGAATCACAGTAATATCACAGGTTCCCCATAACCTGCACCAGAAGGTTCAACACGGAAGTGGTACAGGCCCTTCTGCCATCAGGAACCATATGGGAAGAGCAGCAGGACATCCTACCTAAATAGCGGGTTGGGTGAGAATTGAAAAACATTTCTAGACTTTAGGGGACAGGTTTTGGTGTACTTACGTTCTTTGTCCTTCTCAACAAGAGATGTAGGTGGTGCAATAGCAGCTCCTCCCATACCTGGGGACAAAACAGAAGACAAAACATTCTTATGATGAGGTCCTATGATAGCACCCAGACTTTCATAAGGCTACAATGCAGGTTCTATTCTAATGAACAATATTCTAAAGTTGTCCTAGACTCCCAAGGCAGAGCAAATATTTTAAGTGTCTTCTTCATTTCTGAAAGGAAGACCTGATTTAGCTATTGTGATTTTGCTACTGAAAGAATAAAGTTTAATTTTGCTTATACTAAGAAATATCTAAACACACAGATATTTATTCAAGTAAAAAAGGCAGGAATGGTAAGTAATAGTAGTGAATATTCTCCATCAGTTCTCATAAGCTGATTTTATCTCACGTTCTCCCCTTTTCCAGAACTTACATTATGCAGAAACTTGTAAGAGATACTAGCTAAGGTAAAAAGGACTTTAAACAATTAATCTGCCATCTCCTTCCATGGGAAAAAAAAAAACAATTTTCTGTTCTTCAATAGTTATGCCATAGTAAAATACTGGCTTTATTCTAGAGGCTCAGAAATAACATGATACATATCAACTGAGAAAACAGGATTACACAGTCCACAGAAACAAGAACAGGATTGTTGATTTTTTTCTTTCTTCTCTCTTTTCTCCCTTCCCCCTCTGCCCCACCAAAGGACTAAACAGCTCCCTTACTTCTTTTTCTTCTCTCCCTTTCATAATCTTCATCTTCATCAGAATCCGGATCCGGTCTTCTTGAAAACCCACTGGCTTCGTGTCTGTCTTTACGCCTTCTGGGAAACACAATGCATTAGGATAAGAAACATCAAGCCTACACTTTCCTATAATTTGTGATATGATCTTTATGATATGAATTACATTGCTATATTCTAGTCTGCATTTCATAATGTGAACTACGTGAAGTGAATGTGAAGTGCTATGCACTAAGGCATAAGGAAACAACTTCACCTTGTTGTTGTTGTTAGCCTTATAGAGTATTTTTATAAATTATGAGATGGATCCAAAGAGAATCACTTTCCACCTTCAAATCAGCTAACAAGAATGTATGGAAATGAATAAGTGTAGTTTTGAGTGACTGAAATGGAAGAAGTGCAAGAAACAACTGGTAGGAAGACATTGATCATTCTCCTTTGTACATTTTTTTTTCCTCTAATTCTGGATTACTGGCTGTAAAGAAAAATACCATTCGCTCAAGTCTACGAAAGTTATCACAACACAAATATCAGATTCTTGAGAAGCTGGCTTGCCAATTACATTCTGGAAAGTGTTCCAAAAAATTAACATTTAGGTGAAAATATTTCAAGACTCGATGTACTTTATGTTTTTTATGAAGGTACGGATTTTAGCATTTTAGGAAAAGGAAAAATGCTTATTCTCAAAAGTTAAGAGGAGAACCTAGGACATAAAACTGGTCTCCTCTCCAGCAGAGCTGCCCAGATTGAACTATCGGACAGTAGGAACAGCAGTACTTCTGACAGGTATCAATAAGGAAGCAGACAAATTATCTGGATTGCCAGATTTTGAATTAAAATGAAATATATACTGTTCATACACCTGGCTTATTGGAAAGCAACTATCTGATGCATGTTTGGCTGACAGACTGGCCAACGCAACTTAAAAGAAGAAGGGTTTTTACATATTTTCAATTTCCTCCCTCTAATTTTACCTACATAAGGCTACCTATATCTATGGTCTACGCTCTTGACCTACATTACAACAAGTTTCAAGCACAATTTACATGGCAAATAATGATGAAGCTGGGGAACTGTCAGTGCAGATTTCTGAGATCTTGAATGCCAGCTAAAGAAAACTGTGACAGGGTCTCATGCATTCCCCTTTGCTACAGCAATGAAGATGACAACTGAGAAAAGACAGAGAAGTCCAAATGACTAAAACTATGAGCTTCTGCAGTCTAAATTGAGCATCTCTCTCTCAATTCTATGGACTTCAGCTGACTCGTACCATGATGGAATTAGCTTATTAATTTAACTTAAAATAAGCAAACGTAAAGTACTTCCGCCCTGAGACAAAAGAGCAGTAAATATGCAATTAATTTGCTTGAGCTAATTGCTTAAACCAATGCAGAATAAAAGAAAAAAAAAAGAAAAAGGCAACTATGCCTCTGGGGGCAGAGCTGGTTAGATGTATAGAACAGAAATGCTTTCACACGGCAGTATGAAATATGTAAAAGGAAAACAGATGGTTTATCATTAGGTGTTGAAAGGTATTTCTGCAGTCAGGTTACAATGAAATAAAATACTCTGAAACACCTGCAAGCTCAAGCTCTGATAATAATACATCAAGTACCCAAATACTTCTGCTACTGTGAAATAAATTAAACAGCAAAATTTGACAAAGATTTTCCAGTTTGTCCATCAAAAAACAAAGATGATGAATATATGATAAAATTAGGTAATTTTTGGATTCTTAGATGACTTCAGTAAGAGCATTGAAATTTGCCTTGTGTTTGCTTCTGTGAGCATATAATACTCTTCACAAGAGCTTTCAGTACTTCCCTGAAACTGTTCGGGGGTATAAAATTAAGCAAATAGATCTTTAAATAACCAATAGGTCATGAGTTGGAACAAAAACCTTACTTTTCTCTTTCTTCAATCTCCTTTTGCCTCTCCAGTTCACGCTGTCTCTGTCGTTCCTCTCTTTGACGTTTTACCACTTTCTCATAATCATTTGGAAACATGGGATCATATTCGTCTGCCAAAGGAATTAACACATCTCCTGCAGAAAAGCCACTAGGTACAGGATCCTTCAGGAAAAAAATACAAAGGAAAAGAAAAACATTGACATTTTCCAGCTGAGATCTGCAAACATCATCCAAAATAAGCAAGCCCTTCTCACTCTAAACATCACTAAACCCCATTTCTGCCTTCAATAGGGTAAGGCAGTACCTTGATCCTGCTGATACTAAAAGAAAGCTCTGCTCTCTTTCAAAACAGAGATTTCACCCAGGCCCTCGCCACCTCAAGTACCTCCATGAAGAACAGAATCTCCCACTAGCAAGCACAAAGTAGCAGCAAACCAATGCAGACAAGAATATTTTGATACCCATTCGTTCACTGTTGTTAGAAAAATGCATCTTCTGGTACCAACCACCTGCCAGGGGTCATCCCATGCAATCTCACCAGTCTTTACCCTCACTTGCTAGTAATACAGTACCTGACAGACACACTGTTGTTCTCCCATCTGAAAACTATTTCAAAATCTTCATCTTTCAAAAAGCATCAAGGAGAAAGTGTGCTTTTATTCCTTTAAATACATTTAAAAGATGAGCTGGCTTTTATTTTTTTTTAATATTTTTTATTATTATTATTATTTTTTTACAAAGACATCAGTCTTTGTACTTCCACATTATATCACACGGAAGTCTATATAAAACTGAAGTCTTCACTAATTGAAACATCTCTGAACAGAAGAAACCAACTTCAAAGATGACTTCTTTGACCAGCAGGAAAAGGTGATGAAAAAATAAAATACAGATTACAGTCAAGGAATCCAAATTCAAAAACATCTGATTACAGCTGGACTGTCCAGTCACCCTGATCCTACCTTTAATCCAGCTGCTACATGAGGTGGTGTGTCCACAATCTGCCTCTCATCTGAAGAGCTGCCTCGTTTCAGGTCAATCACTGGAGCGAGGACTGTTGTTTGTTTTGATCTCTGGCTCTGGAAACAAAAATTGCAATAGAAAACGTCTAAAAAAGTAACAAAATAATTTTCTGAAAAGCAGCTCTTTCAAATATTGTTCAAGTAGATTTCTTCTCTTTTTTAAAGAATGAAAGTCAAGCTCTAGCTCAAATTCTTTTCTGCTCAAAGTTCAATATACAGTTTTTCATAAACTTATCAACATACAGTAATTTGCAATATTTCTAATGAACCTTATTGTGGATAAATACATTTTATTTCATACTGATTGGTAGAAAAGACCAACTCTTCTTTGCTAGAGGTTGGCTCTAAGTTAGAGAGCTGCTACAAAAAAATATAAATCTGATGAAATAATTCGAAGAGAAAACCTCAGTGAAAACAGTGCACATCCTTCTGCTTTTAAGAGATTGGTATCTTTCATGGATGTGCACCAGAATGTACAGTGATAGCTGAAAGCTTTGGAACTAGTGCCAAAAAACAGGCATTAAATATTCAGATTATCACTTCAGTCTGAGTTTGAATTGAGAGTTTTTGTTTTTTAATCTAGTAGAGGCTTAGATTTTTCTTAAAGACAAATTCTATTGCTCTTCATACTTTATCATCAGATAAAAACAAATTAATCCACTTTTGAATCTTCTAATCTTATTTTGTTCTTCAGCTACAGCCTATACACATATACTGCATATCAAATAAAATATATGTGTACTTTATATATGTATGTGCCACTTCAGGCTTCATTCATAAAACTTGTGCCAAATTCTGTTCTCAATTTTAGCAGCACTTATGTTTCTATTTTAATGAAATATTCTCATTCTACGTAGTCTGCACATAGTCTACAAAGTACATGTGTCCTGCTTAAACATAAAACAACACTGCTTATAAGAACAGGGTGAAACACTGTAGCAATAAAAAGAAAAGGGCTCTGTCACAGCTAAGCTCTAACAATTATCTTTCAACCTTTTCCCTTTCACATATACTGGGAATACTGCAAAAATTATTAACACACAACAATTTGCACTTAATTATCTAAACCCTTTTTGAACAGCAAGCATAAAATGATGCAAACACATAAATGACAATGGATACAAAATGCCAGGAACAACTAACAGCTGATACTGTCATCTAGGCCAGTATGGCCCTTACCTGCTTAAAAACAGAAATGCTTAATCTCATTCTCTTTGAAATTAAATATAAAGATCAGGTTTTAGCTCTATTCTGTCAAAAAAAGAGGCTCACAGAGTACACAACAATTCTTCATTTGCTTTTTAAATTTACAGGACTTTCTCCAATTTCAAAAAATACTCATCTTGGTCCCCATGCCCAACGCCTTCTCAGCAGGCTCCACATTACAAACTCATAGACGGATCGTAACAAAAGGATTCCAAATATGTATTCCAAAGTCACAAACTTTCCTCGGTGTTCCCAAGAAGCCTGAACAACAAAAATCGCTAACAACCGTACCTTTGCTTGTGTGAGAGCTGCTTTCTTCACCTGCAACTGAGACTGCAGTAGCTTGAAATTTTTGGACCAGCCTTCCGTTTTTGAATCGCTGGTCTCAACTCCCAAGTCATCGTAAAGGGACATTTTCTCTCCGATTCAAGACTAGAAGACAAAAAAAGGCATAATAAACCATATACCCAATGTTTATTTGCTATTAGTTTGGTTATGCTTGCACACCGTATTTTTAAATATCTTTTTTCTTTAAGCCAAAGAGAATTCCAAGCAGGGGTGGTTTTTTTGCTGGTTAACAGTAGATATGCATACCTGCTGCAAGGCCGTAGAAAAGTAGTTATTTAAAGGACAATAAAATGACTCTATGAATACTGTTCAAGTGTCAATGGTTGTTGAAAACTTCCTAAAACTATTTTTGTAACATATTGCTTGCAAAATTACGGCTGTAACATCATCGTAGGCTTTTTAAAAACATGACACTGTAGTCCACAAAAACACTAGGAGGGTCACAAAGAAATTTGCAAGTATGAGATAAACCCCAGGACTTTCAAATTAGAGCACTTAAGAAGTACCATCTCCCCTGGCCTTAAAGTCAGTACCAATATGTCGACATTGCAACTAATTTCTTAAATTAAAGAATTTTACAACATCATTAGGCTGAAAAAAATATGATTCTTTAATTAATAACACTTGCTGGAGTACTATGTGCCAGTGCATGGTTAAGTAAATAATTTCAGATGTCCGAGGGCCTCAAGCCACCAGAATATACAAACACACCTACAAAATCAGCCAGGAAACAACATCAGAACAGGGCAGGTATCACTGTGTAGGTGACACTGAAAGGAAGGAGGAAAAAAATGCGCACGAATGAGAGCTCTATCACCTGCCACTGCCTCGAAACAACCCGTGAGCACATTATTTATCCTGCTTCCAGCCTGGGTTACGGGTCTCCGACCACTGCTTTAACGCCTTTATTTCCTGCGAGACAAATCACCTGCAACAGCGCTAAAAATCACTGATAAACAAGCACAAAACCAAGACCTCCCTGCACAGATGGATGTCTCTATCTGAAGGCACCTGCCCGACAGAGGAGCTGATTGCTAGAAGCTGTGATGTGACCCAACTTATATATTATAATATATATTGCAATAAATATTATATATATATAATGTTAGGCAAGACTCCAAGCAGCAGGCAGCTGACTGCACTACAATTCCCACAGGCAAGTGGTATGAAATAATGGAAATATGTATACTTGCTTATATATTGTGCATATAATAATATAGGTTAAAAAAGAAGTATTATGCATATAGCGAAAAAAAAAGTAAAAATAACACAAAAAAAAACGTTTTTCGCCAGCAAGGAATATAAATAAACAGAGCTCGGTGTTTATACAGGTGCAGGGCGGGATATTACACATCACAAGAGACGGGGGTGAGAAGGAGACGGCACGAAAGCGCTCTGCGCCACCGGAGGGAAAAACTGGGGCTGCAAAAGGCGATTTTAGGGGCCAAAGGGGAGGGGAGGAGGCAGCCGCCGGGGCGGGAAGGAGGCAGCCGCCAACGCGGGCCGGGGGCCG